CTGAGGGAAAGGCAGTGTCCATCTCTGAGCCTTTAGCAGGAGCCAGTTTTCCCTCCAACGTCCACAATCCAAGAGGGACTTTTACCGTTTTTTGAGGAAAACATGGCTCCTCCTCGCCAGGGCTACTCCCAAAGAACGGAGGCAGCGCAAAGCAGCCGCTGGAGCACAATCTGGCTGTTTCATCACCTGGTTGAGGTGCTATTCCTGCTCCCTTACTGTTAAAGGAAAAATCTGTTCAAAACTCAACCGTAGGCGGGAAATTACAGTCATTACCAACCCGCTCCCCTGACAGGTCTTTGTATTCCATGTGCTGACGCTCCCTGAGCAGACCCTGGGGTTTCTCTGCTACCTAGCGAAGAAACACGACGCATGCCGTGACAGAGAGACCAACGTGATACAGAGAGCAGCTCCACAGGCCACCGCCACCCCGCTCGGACTGCTACACAACTGCGGGCAAAGAGAATGCCGGGACAAACCACAACGGGGCCTGATCATCCCCTGGATTGTAGGCAAGCACGGAGCCAGGGCCCAACTCTGCGGCCTGCCCGTTACCGTAACTGGCTGAACCAACCTCTCCCACCTGAACCTGCTTCTGGACTGACGGATGTGAACATCAGTGCCCGGGCCCCACCTCTACTCAAGGATTAGAAGGCTGAAAGCTACAGGAGCATTACAAAGGAGATGGTGGGGGAGGGGAGATCCCGCGCCTCTTAAGGGTCAGCTATGCGGATGCTAACACAGGAAGCTAACAAATTCTAGCGCCCCCTCAGCCCCGTTCGTGTGTTAGGCTGGAGCGGGGACCACAGCAGTGCAAGCTGTCTGCCACTTCCTGCCCCAGGCCACCCGGCCCCAGAAGTGCATGAGGCTACCCTGGGACTAGGCAGGGCCAGGCTATGCTCTTGCTCAATTTGCTGCTTCGCAGAGGCAAGGGATCCCCTGGAGCGACTCTGGCCCCTGTATCTGATTTTGCCCCTGATACCTGGCGATGCTCCCCTGCCAGCACAAGGGTTCGACCTGTCCAGGAGAATCACCTAACGCTGTATGTGCTCATTTCCACTGCTCTTACCCCTGTACCTTCCTGTCATAGAATCATAGGACTGGAAGGGACCTCGAGAGGTCATCTAGTCCAGTCCCTGCACTCAAGGCAGGACTAAGTATTATCTGGACCATCCCTGACGGATGTTTGTCTAACCTGCTCTTAAAAATCCCCAATGATGGAGATGTCCTAGTACCCACGCCTGCCTCTCGGCTAGCCCACAGCACTCATGGAAGGGGGAGTGAGCCGAAGACTAGATAGGCTGACACCCAGCTTCTCTTTCCGAGGTTTATTTCAATCAGCAGGTTTTTACACTGGAACGGAGCAAGCGTGGGTGATTGCATGTGTGGTGGTGAGGGATTCTCTCTGCAGCAGGGGACATACACTGCCGCTTACTCTGCATCCAACCTGACAGCCCCTTGCAAGAGCACAAGGTTTTCGTGCTAGGAAGGGGCGACAGAGCAGAAATCTGGACATTTTGCACATACACACGCACGCAATGAAGTTCATTTCCACACACACGCAGGCTAAGCAAAAGGTGGCTAAGAAGCAGAAGGCAGCTAAGAAGAAGGCTTCATGTGGACCCCTGTTTAATTCATTTAATATCAATGTGTGTGCTGGTTTACTAGTAAAAAGGCTGGTGTTTCTAACTACCAGCCCTGAAAACTCAGCCCGGCTATCTGAGAATCAAGTGGGGGTCGCTTCCCTTCTTGTGCATCATCACCTGAGCTAACAGTGCTGCAGGCCAAACAACACCTGCGCAGCCACCCACTGTCCTCAGAGCATGCCCTCCCCTGTGTCAATCCACTGCTTTCCATGTGTTTGCACAGGAGCGGATGATGCACAAAGTAGGACAGACCCCTTAGCCCTAGGTTTGCAGAGCCAGCACAGTTCACAGGACTGAAAAGTGGCCAAAGCTTATTTTTGTCACTGAAGTCAGCAGATCTGAGCCTCCGTGATGCACAGGGAGGAAAAGCTGGCGAGTAAGAAGGTGCCAGCATTACGTAGTCCCTTTTCAAAGTAAAACCACATGTTAAAGCTTTGGGGAAAGCCCTGAGCTGCATCTAGAATGGTTACTAGCTCTTCGATAAATCCCCTGACCCTAGCAGCTAGCCAAGCATTCCCGGGGGCCGGGGCATGAGAGCACGGACAAGGATAAACCATCCTGCAGGGAAAACTCAATCAGGTCCAAGCTGGGGGTGAAGCTCCAATGGGAGTGGATTCACTCTTTACCCACCACCTAGTCCAAAAGCAAGTGTGGTAACTCCTGGAGCAACTACAGCTAATCAAAACCACCTGCTTGTACCTTTGAATCAGTCACAATGGAAGAAGCCGATGATATCAGAACACACGGCACCATAATTATATCAATCACTGTACGTTTTGGCAGACTATCGAATCAAAGTTTACTACAAAATAAGTGTCGTTAAACAAGAACTTCACCCTTACAAGGTTCTCGTTCCCCTAGTTAACTTTAATAATATGGTATTCCCCACTGTTGTCTCACCCTATATCCATAATACCTCCTTCCCTTACTTCAAATCTCTCCGTTCAGCATCGCTATGCAAGTGCTGTTGAATATGCTCACTCAGATTGCAACCTGGAGAGATTATTCAACTACCCTGCTTTACTACCCCAAACCAAGGTCCTTGGCATATGTGCTGCTGGGTTTGACCCTTACAGCCATCAGCTGGAAGGATCAGACTGGGACTGACTGCTGAGGTTCGTTTTGAATATTCAGAATGCCAACTGGCTGCAGGCTAAAAAAATAATCCAGGACCAAGCTTTGGAAGTGCCAGTTAGAGTGAATTCGAACTCGCTGGGTGCACTCAGCAGGAAAATGCCTTGTGAAGATGGCTGGAGCCTGACAAGATGGGAATTTAGCTTCTCTGCAGACACCTGTGATGGAAACCTCGCTATTTCTCAGATCAGTGCGTGGGGGAAACATCATTCAAATGGTCAGGGGGTCGGGGAGACCAAACCCCACACTCCCGTGGGCTGATCCAACCCTGCGTAGGCTGGAGCGCTACCTGCTGCCTTTCTATACAAATTGGGCAGATGTTGCGGCTACTGGATGCCTCCTCCCCACAGTTCCATCCTCCACGCTGGCTTAGGTGGGTGGCTACCAAGACTGCTCCTTTTAGCACAGCCCCACCGTGCAGCCTAAATGGCTCTTCTACAGTCAAATCGGAGAGGGGGCTGCTCAAAGTGACCCTTGCAGCAGAAATCCACTGACCGGCAGCTGCTAATCTCAGCAGCTGGAGCTCAGCCAGGCAGCCTGACTGACGTCTATCGAGTAAGCGACGAGCCTAGAGAGAGTAACGCTTGGTCGGACACAAGACTGGCCCAGGGGTCTATACAGGGTCCGAATGGCTCAAACGAGAACAAGCCAAACATATTGGTATATTCGTATTAGAAATAAACTCAGTCCAGGATACTGCAGGCACCTGAGAAGCCAGAGGCTATGCTCCATGTGCCTCCTGCAAGTGCTTTTCCCCAACTGATCTAACACCTGCCAGCCGGTCTGGCTAAGTTTGCTGTCCCCAAATGAAGCTGCACGTCTACACTACTCGCAGGCCAGAAGAGCGGGAGCAAGCTGAGCAGGATGCACTTGGCACTGGCTGGGAACTCAACCGCAGATCAACAGGACATGACTTCGGAAAAAATTAAACAGCAGAAATCTTGGCACAGGAGCCCGACAAATGAGGGGGAAGTGGCAAGGGGAGCCTGCTACACTCAGCACATTTACACAACGGTCTCAGCGACGGGCTCTCTCGGCCACAGGATGCAAAACAAACCTCCTCCGGCCAGCAGCCTCGCCCCGGTTAAAGGGACAGCCCCGTCTCAGCATTCAGCAGGAGAATCCCCATCTGCAATTGCGATTCAGGGGCCTGGGGGCTCTCGGTTGATGATGTAGCAGTGGCAGTCGCTTTACGAACAACAGTGCATCCTCTAAAGGAGGCAGCAGAGATCGGAAACTCTGACTTGCCATTAGTGGGCTATTGCAATTGTGCAGTTATGGGCCAGGGGGGTTCTCTTCTACTCTTCTGATACATGGGAATCCCTCTGCATGGGCATCAGGGTACATGCCTTTTACCGGTGTGGGGCCATGTGTGAACCACGAACACACAGAAAGTGACCCCAAATTTGGGGTCAGGAAGGAATTTTCCCCCAGGTCAGACTGGCAAGGACCGTAGGGGCAGAAGATTGCCTTCCTCTGCATGGATTATCTGCTGGGCATATCTCACTAACACAATTTCCTGCCACTGCAGAGACCTCGGGCACTGGGCACCTTGGTCCCTCCAGTTTTCTGCCTGTGGCACACAATAGTTTAGTCTCCTTAGGCTACAACACTGGTTTAATTCTGGTTGTTGGACTTGGTGTGGAGGTGGGTGGTGTTTGCTGGCCTGTGATATGCAGGTGGTCAGACTAGATGATCCCTTCTAGTCTTCAACTCCGTGACACAGAGCTAAACCCCAGCTATCTAGCCCAGGCCTGCAAACCACCAACTGCTCTCCCAGTTCGACATCGACACGAGTTCTGGCCATGCAGCCGTCTCCTGCAGTGACCTCGCTCCAGAAATGTGACAACACCTTGTCCTTCCATGACACACATCAATCGCGCATGACTCCTGGAGCAAGCACTGACAAAATCCCCAAGCTTGCTGCCAACCTTGTAGCTTGTTACCAACACAAACACAAAAGCACTTTTCTCAGACTATACAGGTCCTCGTTCCTGCTTGCCTAAATCGAGCATAAATCAGGAGTCACTCCACTGAAGTCAATGGTTTTACACAGTGGGTGAAAGCAGTGTAAAGAAGAACAGAATCAGGACCCCAAGATTCAGTGTGGTAACACACCCACACTGTCTCTGCTGGGCGCGTACCATCTAACACCATGGACTGGCTTCCTTTCCAAACCAACAGAACTGGCAGATGGAGAAAAAAAAATGTATTGTGTATTACCTTTTTTGGCCGTTTCCATTTCTTCTTCTGTCCAGCGAGAACTTTCATTCATCTCCAAAGAAGCTGAAAAATAAACAGACAGAACCAAGCGGTTACGGTGAGAGGGATTTAAACGTACGAAACACAGCAACTGAGCCAGAAAATCTCAGGAGGGTTACTCGCGCCCAAATGCCAGCCACTCCGATCAGAATACACTGGACACGGATAGCGCCTTTCATCTGAGCATCCCAAAGTGCTTCACAAGCCTCCGTGCCAGGCTTAGATTCGGGGAGGTGCCAGGCCCAATATCACTGAGCCAGCATAGTATTCGTCACACCGATGGAAGTTCTGAGTGGAAGGTGGTTTTGGGCTGGGAAAACGAAGCTAGCCCCCCTTAGGGAAACTGCGTTTTGCCAGTGATATGTTGGTCCCACTTGCCCTTGTCCCGCAGAAAAAAGGTGTGACGTAGTTACTGATTTTATTCTAATTGTGTGGAGAGGTGTCGTCGCCGGGGGTGGCAAGAGCTGAGAACTCAGACCGACTGCAGGGCCGTGGTCATCTCAACGATACTGATCAACCCCCAGGGAGCGAAGAGTCAGTAGGGGGAGCCAGTCGGCAGCAAATCTGATGCGCTTAGAGAGATGGTGCAATACCCGGGCGATCAGAGATTTCCAGAGACTGCATGCAGCACCTTGGGCTACATCGGATTCACTTTCACACCCGACAAGAGCCTCGGAGCAACAGCAAATCTCAGGAGGCCTGGATGCAACCGTGCCCTCCAACCAGCATAGTAAGAGATGGGTGCTGGTCATGCCCACCATTCACTTATATTCCCCACCCCCGTGCTCCATGTGGGCCTGAGTAATGTATTCACTGGCAGCCTGACACACGTGAGCAAACCCTACAACAACAAACTACTATGTGAGTCAGAGACAGAAAACCCCCAGTAAGCAAACAGATTTTCATTTCAGCTGCCAACAGGCAGAGCATTATTTCAACACCGAGGAGAGAGGTTTTGACCACGTCCTTTTAAAATGGAAACTAGGCCGACCGGCTAGGTTAAAGGACAGTGGTGGAGAGGAGAAGCAGCATCTCTGAGAAGCTTGTAAAGGCTCTAGGGCTCTGGAGGGGGAAGAGTACAGCTCTGATGACCACAACCTGTTAAGTACCAGGGCCTGGGAGTAAGAAAAATGCATCTCCTTCACAGCTGACTGCACCAGATTGCAGGTGTCGCCTTGTGGAAGTCACCACAGGTCATTTCCTCCATTAGAAATATAGTCCCCACAGAGATCCAGCCAGCACATGTTAGCTCAGCTGGTAGAAGAAATCAATACCTAGGAATTTTCTTTCCCCCTTCATGGGCAAATTCAGGGCTTCAAGATTTATTTGCTTTAAGTATACCAAACACACTTGACTAGGGATTTAATTGAGTTTTAATAAGATTGTCAGGGTATGTTAAATAAATGTCAGATAAATGGCCTATTGGGTTTGATTAATGATATTTATTGAGGTTGAGCAGTTACATAACAGATGTCTACTGGGAGCTGCAGCGTGCTGCAGCTAAACCACAGTATGGGGGTTTTTGTTTGTTTTTTAATGTTCAATGGGACTTTAACATGCAGTAACTGTCTTCGCCAACCTACATTAAATCACTACTGGGGAGACACAAAGTGTAACTGATTGCTTCGGCATGCCAGTGACATCAGCCCATTTCCTTTGGTCACTTTACTATTGTCAGCTGGCTTTTCTCCCCGCTTGTGATTCCACTGGAGACCTCTGGAGGAAACATGCTACCTAAATGACTGGGCTTATTCCCTACCGCTACTGGCACAATGCCTAAGCACCCCAAACAGGGCCCAGGGCCCCCCCGTGCTAGCACTATACACACACAGTCACGGGTTTAGACAATACTCAGCCGGTGAATCAACAGACACATTTGCAGACCTAATTTATACTAATAAAGACACTGCTTTCAGTAAGGAAATTCTCCAATAGACAGGTATGGATCAATGTTTCTTTAGTATTTGCTATAGGGAATCAGGCAAATACTGCAGTCAGCGTATCGAAGACAGCCGTGGATAGTTCCCAAGGGGAAACCACCACCTTTTTGTCAATCATAGAAGGAAGGGAAAGATAGACACCATCTACCATTGCCTGGATATGGCACGTTTTAACACTTACAAGCCCCCATGTAGCTGGCAGTGGAAGCTATCAACTTTGTATGATCTCAGCTGCATGCAGGATCCTTGTCTCCTGTCATTCCAAACTAAGGGTTACGCTAGCCGTCTGTCCATGAGTTTTAGGGTGAGATCAGTTTGACTTCTCTCTCTTATTTCTGACAACACCACGGGCACCGCCCTGCCAGCCTGAGATGCCCTAAAGTCTCAGGAAACATAATGGCACTTTCAGGATGTTCCGGGGTTGTTGTATTGGGTCCTCTCCTTTGAGATCACTGCACACGTGTTTGCACGGCAGGGAGGTTGGCTGAAACGGGGCAGGGAATCAGAGCTGCGTCGAACCGGCTAGCCTAGCAAGTCAAGTCCCAAGCGCAGACAGCGTGGGACAGAAAGCATTAGGGGGAAGTGATGTGCTGAGGATCTCCTCCTCTGGAAGAAATATGGAATCACAGGCTATAGGCAGAGAGTTGTCCCAGCCTTCCCCTCACTGAGCCATCATGTGTGGTGCCCACAAAGGCAAGGAAGGGAAAGCCTGGCTTTCCAACACCACGGTCACTGCAACAAGCTGCATCAGGGCCATCGCCCATCCCTACTGCTTCCGAGACCAGGCACGCCACAAACTGGAGGGAGCGGGGGCCAGGGCAGGGAGCAAGTGAAGCCAAGCGAGGCCCCCGGGCAGGTGCAGCGCACTGTGACTCGGCTAGCTGCGGAGCTCTCAAGGACAGTCTGAGCCTGCCTCAGGGCACATGGTGAAACACGCTGCCAGCCAGACTCCCAAGGATGGCCTTGCACTCAATAGCCACCGGCAGTACAGAGAGGCCTGCATGAAGATCTGCACGGCTTTGCTGAAAATGGCACAATTCCCTTTGCCTTCCTTCGGGGCTTTCCAGCTGAGGTGCCAAGTGACGCAAACCTCACCTGGTGAGACACAGGCCTAGCCCTCTGAGATGCCTCCTGTCCAGCTGGATGAATTCCACTGGGTAATCCTGAGGTGCTGGTGAAACATCGCTCCCACTCCTCAGGGCAGGAGGAATTTTAAAGAGCCAGGGCTGTAGGACAGGATTATCATCCTCCATGTCCAGATCGGGAAACTGAAGCACGGCGACTTGTCCCAGGCTACCCAATGAATCAGTGACAAAACAGAGGCGAAACCCAGCAGCCTTTGTTCCCAGGGCGTTGGGCCTTCTCTCCACCCAGCTGGCTGGACTGATACAAACCCCTCCTCCCCACCTTGGGTTAAGGAGGCTTTGTGGCCAGCAGGTACATACCCAGCTCTGTGTTCTGCTGCGGAGCGGCTGCCTCCTCGTGGTTGGCCTCGTTAGCCATGGAACGGGTGATGCGGCCTTTGCGCCTGCCCTGACTGTTGGCGGTTTTACGCCCTTTGGAAGCGACGGCTTCTTTCTCGTCGTTATCCTCCCCGGACGTGTCGTCATTCTTCTCCCTGCAAAAGCGGGGAAATCACTGGGTGATGGGATATATTTTGGGAGTTTGCAACGAGGGCACTTTGCCTGACTTTGGGTGGGTTGGGCTTTTTTTTTTTTTGTTCAGATGGTTGCAGTTCCAAGAGCGCGCAGAGACCTGACAGAGACAGGTTTAACGCTGGGCCATTCAAATTTATCATCGCCTCCTCCTCATTTATCTTCCTGAAAGGGACCTGCTGGTAAACGTTTAGGCAGCCTGGATATAATGAAGCCAGATGTTCTCCTAAGCCAAGTATTAAGCCCATTACAGATAGCTAGCAGTCTGCCTGCCAACCTTTCCCAGCAACAAATCCGGCGTTCCCTGCTAAGCCAGGCGGTGCCAAGCACGGTTATAAAACTGGTCAAATCCCTTGAGCTGGAAGATCTCACATCGACAGCAACACCGCTAAAGGTGAAGCTCTATGCTCCGCTGCATCCCGAGTTCTGCTTTGACTCTAGGAGGCTCAGCCATATCTTGCAACAATCAAACAAACCCTGGTATCAAAGCTGCTTCATGGACTGATCGGCTTTATAAAGCAAATCCGTGATTTCATCTAGGCTCTCCAGGGATGCGGGGGAAGAGGGGAAATCTATAAACGAATAGACTCGCTCCTTTCCTAGCAGCAGGTTTAGCCTGCTCTGTGCTAGGAGAGGAGATGGGTACACGCAGCACATCCAAGGTAACCTGCGAAAGGATCACCCAATACTGGGATCAGAGCCTAGATTCCGCTGGATGCACTTCAAAGCATTGACCACTCTCCTCCCCCCGCCCTCCCAGTGCGGTTCTCCTTAAGGAGGGAGCATTGAGATGATGCATTCCCAGCCCAGTGCACACTATGATCCCTAGGGGCGAGGAGCGGAGAGAAAGGAGAAAACTTGCTTACTTTGTCAGTTCTTCTTTGTCGTTTTCTGCTTCCTGTTTGTCTTCCTCCTTCTCTGCCTCCTTCTCCTTTTCTTTCTCTTTTTCATCCTTCTCCTCTTGGCTGCTACGGGGCATCTGCTGCTGCTGCTGCTGCTGCAAAACAAGGGACAATAGAAAAAAACAAAACTGTTGAGGCGGATAAATCTTAGCACCTGGCCTAAACCAAACAAGCGCATTTCAACAATGCTGAAGGGGCTGACCGAGAGGGGAAACGAACAAAGTGCTGCTTGAGCCACGGGGTGGACATCTGCAGTCAAGGGGCAGGCAGGGCTGCTGCAGGCCAGCGGGGCAGAAAGCTTAATGCAGAGATCAGAGCCCGCTTTGGGTCTATGCTTGGGGACCTGATCCAACTCCCATTAAGGTGAATGGAAAGGCTCCCACTGGCTACAGAAGCGACGAGGTTGCAGAGGCTACAAACGACGCAACCCATTTCAGGGCAAGTGACGCAATGAACACTGCGCAGGAGAAGTGAACCTGACCCCCTGATCACCTGGAGGAGACTCAGCACAGCTTGACAGAAACTTCATTTAGAAGCCGTTACTCCCATCTGCCCCAAACAGTGCTGGGTGTGAGGCACCTACCTGTCTTTACCCTCCTTTAAGAGAGTTTGTGCAAGCGCCCCTCAAAACTCTATCGGCACCACCCCGCTCCCAGGCATTTCATGTTACCAAACAGGAGCGTTTGTAAAATGATAATAATGATGCTGGATTCCATTTTGCAGCTGCAGGAAGACAGCAGGGGGGAGGCCCGATTCCTCAGACCTCCTTCTGGCTAGCATCAAATGAAAGGAATTCCACAGAGACGTAGAAATTAGAGACGGAAATGATTTATTAAGCCATGCAGGTCCCCAGCTAATACAGGACTGTTTCCTATAGTAAATCCACTGGGGCTTGGCCAGCGCAGCTTCCCTGGGGAAAGGATTCCACAGGCTGAAAGGAAGAAATCTCAAACTGAACTGATCTACAGAAAGGCTGATCCCGGATGACCTGTGCGTCCTGCTTACAGCTGCTAGGAAGGTGCTTTATGACAGAGGTGTGCGATTTGATAGCACACTCCAGCGTTGCCCGTGAACACAGATCTCCCGTGCACCAGTGTTCTGCGCCAAGTGAACTCTTGTGCCCCAAAGGGTTAGTGCTAACAGAGACGCGCAGAGCTATCGAAATGGGCTACGGGAAGCGACAGGAAAGCATCGTGTTCTTTCAGGTCTTGATTCGGCAAGTACTGGAGGCACGTGCTTCACTTTAAAGATACGCTCACAACGTCAGCGCCTCTCTTTCTATTTGTGTGGATTCAAAGGGCACAAACCAAACGGCAATTGTAACGAGCGCGCCTGATTCTCCACTGCCTGCTGCCCTACGCTGGCATCTGCGCTTGCACAACGGGAGTGTGAAGCCCAGCCAGATCAGAACGGCAGCCTTTCACGCCCGCGGGGCACTAGTGAAAATGACGACACGAGGCATGAAGCATCCAAGAATCGGACGTA